CACATATATGCTAACAGAAAAAAATCATCTAACAGATGTTCCACCACCCCCCTAAAAAAAGATGTTCCCCCACTCTTAGTGACGTCTAAAACTTTACTTAGCAAAACAATTACAAAGTGGTTATTGGCATTAAGTGCAAGATTTTAAAATTGCCAAAATAAAGCAAGTATTTGATAAACATTTCCACATAGATGTTTGAAATTACTGTTGATTGGATGACTTAGTAAAATTAAACAGAATATTTTGAAGGCGGAAACATTGTGAATTGGAGATTTTTAAAAAATCTGCCAAATAATACTACAGTTTTTAACATTTTGAATTTATACCTTTAGTATACCTTTAGTTCATGTTTTCATGGAAAATCACAAAATGTTGACAAGAGGTGACTGGTAAATACAGGTGTGCATAGGGGCACCTTTTCCCTCTTCCCACCACTGAAACAGACATACCTTCAAATGAAGCTATTATTGACATATTTTCTCTAACTGAGGATGGGTTTTTTTTTTAATTTTTATTTATTTGACAGATCACAAATAGGCAGAGAGGCAGGCAGAGAGAGGGAGAAGCAGGCTCCCCGCCGAGCAGAGAGCCCGATGTGGGGCTCGATCCTAGGACCCCGAGATCATGACCTGAGCCAAAGGCAGAGGGTTAACCCACTGAGCCACCCAGGCACCCCGAGGATGGTTTATGATCCCTGTGGCAGGGCATAAGTAGTCCAAACATTTTCAGAGGTCCATATTTATGTATATGGCACCAATCTGCCCGGACGTTAAATCGTACAAGAGACAGTATGGCATAATGAAAAGTATCCTAAATAAGAAGTAACAGGGTCTGGGAACAGATCCCTTAGCTTTACTAAGAGTAATGACCTTGATCAAATCTTCTACCCTTCTGAGCTTCATTTTCCTAATTGACAAAATTAATGTGGAAAAGGAGAGGAAATAAATGAACTTGCAGAGAGTGATCCAGGAGAGATGTATATACATTGTTAAGCACCCCCAGACAATATTTGATGTCTAGCCCATTGTCTTGTGGATAATTAATACTTAATTTACACACCAAAGAAACATTTTCCTATTTTAAAACAGAGGCTGCAATTTAGTTAGCCAAATGTGGCCTGCGGAGGTCTTTTCTTTGACTCCCGCTGGGTTTCAACAAAGTTTTAAAGCAACGGTGGAAACTGAGGAAAAGTCACATCATAATCTGGGTTTGCAACTGCTACTAAAAACCTGAAAATTTTTGCCTTGTGACTCTATGGTTCCACCTGTAAGATTTCTGCTAGAGCTGATGAGTTTGGCCTGTTATACACGTTCTCCACAGTGTACACCACCAGCCCTAACCATGACCCTGACCTTGAGACTTAATGTCAGTTTCCATTCATTTCATGCCTATTTTTATTTTTCATATAATAGAGAATATTTTTTTTTCTTGAGTCTCTTTTAAAAGTAGGGAAATGAAATCCAGCCATAGAAGATGGCTTGCTTCAAGGAAATGAGCATGAGCACCTTTGTTTGTGAGAGTGTTTGCTATGTCCTCCCTGGTTGTCTTCAGTCATTTACCTTATCTAAAGGCCCCCTTCAGCCCCTGGAGACTTTGTGCCTGCTTGAGAAGATTGTCACCACCATTCCAGAATTAATACAGTAGAAAGATGTCAAAACTACTTAGGATTTTATTTACTAGATTGACTAATGTATTAAGTCATTTAACTCTTCTGGGCTTCAGAGTCCTCTTGTGTAAAACAAAAAGCCTGGGCTAAGTGATCTCTAAGGCACCGCTCAGCTTCAAATGCCATGATGTTAAAGTTTTAATTCTTATAACGAAGCCTTCATGACATAACCATCATAAATATATACCCTGTTAAAAGTAGCCATCATGATTTTTCCTCCAACCTAAGGCAGATTTCAGTGACTACATCCATCCATTTTTCATCTTGACAGTGTATATTGTGGATATCATGGCTTCAAAATGAAAGCACCATTCAGATTCAACGTGTGCTTTAAAATGCACTGATGTTGTGCATTTGTAGCCTTGAACAATTTGTCATGACCCTGGCAAGTCCTCTTTGCTGTAAGCTGCACTTCAAGTTCTTTGCTACTAATAATAGCTAAAGTACTAAATCTCACTTAATGGAGAATCAGAGCAGATTCAAGGTATTACCAAAAGAAAGCTAATTGCATTCTCATAAGCCCTGATACAATTTTTGAATGGAAAACATAAACAAGTGACACACCCACATCATAATTTCCACTGGACCAAGAGTCATTGCTGGGGAACTTTAAAAATATCAATGCCTGGTTCATATCCCCAGAGGTTCTGACTTAATTGGTCTGGTGTGCAGCCTGGAAAAAAAATAAAATTTAAAGCATCTCAAATGATGCTAATGTAAAAACCCTCATCTAATAAAAATATTGTTTGTAGACTGTGAGCAATAGCCAGGTTACCCAGACAGAAGTTTGAGAATATACTACAGTGACATTAACTTCATCTTTTTCTTAGTGTCGGCTGTTCTGTTCAGAATCTAACATGCTTGATTATATCATGTAAAATTTTTTCCATGTTGGACAATGGAGAAGTTTGGGGGTAATTATATAATTATTTTTTAGTAACTCCTTGGGGATTATTTTCTGATATGAGCTAGAGTTTCATGTTAAAGTTTCATCCCATATTTATTAAGTAGCGTAATTTTTATGATGAAGTTTGTTTCAAATACTTGACAATAACATCATAGTCTTTTGAGTTAGCTAAAGAAAATGGTATTGAACTTAAATAATTCAAAAAGTTGATCATTAAACTGCATAGATTTTTAGTTTATAGATAGTAAATTCTCCCCACGGGTCAAAAAAAAAAAAAAAAAGGTCCAATAACTTCTAGAACACTTACATGAAAACTGTGCCCAAGAGACTCTTCTCTGTTGTCCCATATGTTATGTTTAGACATCCTATCTACAGGAGGTAGAACTGAGAGTTATAAAGGAAGTGACTCCAGAAGTTACCGAGCTCTGCAGTTTTATTTTACAGATAAAAATTTGAGGTTCTTTGTTCCAAGTGATTTGTCCCTATTAGTAGGTGGCAAAACCAGAATTCCCATCCATATTCTAGCCTAGGATTCCTTCTTCTATACCATCAGAATCCCACAAATTTACCTCTTTTTTCCATGAAACATCCATTCTGCCATTTTTACTTGTCCTAGAGTTGTGATGGAACATGATACATATTGATGTGTCTTAAATAATGATACTTGAATGCTGTGCTATCTTTGCATATGATATATACATCCTGATTTAGAAGATAAGAAGTCAGTATAGGTTTACTTGGATTTCTGTATAATTAGCTTCCAAAGTAAATATGTTGATCACATCTTTGGTTGATTATTATGGTCTTCTACTGCTGTTATACTAATACTTTTCCCATCTCCAACTGGCTTTACTTTTTGCAGCTTTGAGCAGTAATTCAGTCCCCTACGCCTCCCTGATTGGCTCTGTGTCCTCCCTCTCTAGCCAAACCACCACTCAGTCCATATATGATAATAACTCTCTCCCACGATTCGCTCGAAAAGGTCTAAACATCTTTGTCTCTTTATTTTCTCTGTTAAAGCACTGTAATGGATGTCTACATCAGTCCATTTCCATTTCCAGATAAGCCTAGAGTCTGTTGTGCTTTTGCATTTCCATTCTTGTCATTGGGGGTGCCTCATCTGGATAAGATCACTTTAATTAAGATCACTTTAATTGTCACCCACCTAATCCCTCCACAGAATGTAAATTAGTTTGATTCCACCATTTATATGGAAAAGTTCCAGAAGTGGGCTCCAACATTTTGGTCCAAAGACCTAATTATATCTGCAACAAAGAGTTTCTATTTCTAAGCCAACTCATTTTTATGAGATCTTCCATTAATATTGTAGTTGACTGGAAGCTATAAACACTAAAACACCACCTATTATAACCTTGTATTAAAATGATTATCTGGAAGAAGCGAAAGAGATTTTTATTTAACTTACCAGAACCATTGATAATTTGACATTTGAGATCATGGAACTTACTGGGTGGCTTTCAATAAATGGCACAATTTCTAAAATGCCCATAAAATAATCACATGTCTTGCTGACTTAATGGTCACCATTCCATAACCTAATACCTTCCAAAGAGTCCCAGGACAGCAGAATGTCAACATGGCCTCCAGTTTGAGCTCCTCCCCCATTCTTTTTCCTTTTCAGAGTCTTCCCTGGGGGCATGCTAGTTCAAGTTTTTCTAGCCAGCTGGAATTTTTATCCCTAAGATATGAGTCAGTGATGTTCTTTCATGGTACTCTTTAAAATTTAATAACAGAGAAATAGAATGTACATCACATGAAAAGTGAGAAAACAGTGGAAAGAGAGGAATCACCAAAATTAGTGGTGGATTATTTTAAACAGAATTTGTGAAACTAATTTATCACTTCAGCTGGCAGACTGAACTAAGATGTGCTGTCCCTGTCACTGCTTTCTTTCTTTTTCCACCCCCTTTCCCTCCCTGTCCTTTCACCCTCTGGTCACTCTCCTGCTTTCATTTCCCATTTGTGGACAAAGATGTTTACACCTGAAGTAGATTGTAGGTTTTACTGGTGGTTGAATAATGGGGACCTGGGGCAAATACCACAAAGATGTTAATGTGGCCATTTATAAGTGTCCAGGTGAAGGCCATAACCCCAACCTCTACAATCTGCTGCTAGTGGAAACATTTTTGAACTTCAGTTTGGTGTCTGATTTTGTCATCAGTGATTATCGTCTATGAACTGTGGTGCATGTCATTCTTTGTGTCCATGTTTGCATGTGAATGTCAGTCACCTCCAGGTCTGTGAAATATTAAAGCAATCTTAATCAAGTCTCAATGTCTAGTGAATCCTGTAAAAACTTACAACATTTTTATCAGTCCTTTAAAAAAAGTATATCAGACTATCCATTTCATTTTTTTAACATTTTCTTTCTATTTTATTTTATTTACATCATCATTTCCTTTGCAGGTTCAGATGATTCCGGTTACCCTGGTAACCTTCATTCTTCAAGTTAGTTTTCCTTGATTATGCATAAATCACTTTATGTTTCCTATCAAGCTACTACTCTTTCCCTTTTAGGCCTTTCTCAGTGTCTGTTTTCTTAGTTCACTTTACACCATTTAATTCCACACGATTTCCATTTCACACAGTGCAGGAGAAGGAGTTTGAAATGACATAACAGTCATTACTCAAAGCAGAAGTTGACATCAAGCCCGACTGTCAGTTTTCTCTGCTAGCTAACTACATCGATTCATAGCACAATAACGCTTTCTTTTACACTAGGAGTGTTAGTTTGCGGATTATGCTTGGTGACTTTTCATTTGGCTACAAAATTCATCCTTCCAGAGCATGTCCTGCTTTGAGTAACCAAACTATCTGCCTGCTTCCTCACATTAAACATCTTTACTACTCACATATTTCAGGCCATTTCTAACGATAGTATTCTCTGTATTTTGGAAGAGTCACCATCATTTTCATTTGTTTTCAAATGTGTTTCTTCTTTCCTTTTAATAGGTATGGCTAGCCATCCTCCAATTCCTATCTTGGAACTTGCAGATCACATTGAAAGGTTGAAAGCAAATGACAACTTGAAGTTTTCCCAGGAATATGAGGTATTTCAGTGCACTTATCCTTGAAAGTAATTTCAAGAGTTGCCACCCTCTTCTTTTTTACTATATTCTTAAAAACTGACTTCATTCGTGTTTTTTTTCTTTTAAATATGACACTGAATCAAATAGAAAAGTTGATAGTAAATAGGCAATTGAAAAGTGTCTACATAATCAATATAGTAGTTGTAGTTTTAAGATGTGTTGAGTATTTTATATTGTCTTACTTAATGAGGTTGATTTTCTTTTCTGGTTTTAAGTTCATAGGATATATTGACTTGATAAGCTTTTTTGTATACCAGATGGGTGCTAAATATTGAATGAATTAATTCATGGCCAGAAGCCTCCCTGAAAAAGAGAGATGACAGGGAATACATCGATTTCTCTGTATAGTTTTCCTTGACCTGAAAACCCTTTAATAATGTACACACACGTATATGCATTATTTTACCCTTCAGTCTTAAAAGAATGCTAGAATTAATATTAAGATCATAATATGTTCCTGGAAAGTTGCCTATTTAGTATCTTAAAATATAGTATACTTACATAATATCTTAAAATTCCAGAATCCTTGTAAGTTCTGTGTGAGTTATTGATGAAAGTAAATGAAAAGTCTTCATATATTTGTGTGTATTTGGATATTGTGGTATTTATCAAGCAGAAAGTTTTTAAATTGGATATTTTTGGCATTGCTCAGTAACAGGAACTCATACTGAGACCAGCTCATGAAGTGATAACTGAGCAACCATTATTCTTTTTGTTCAAATTTGACTTAGCACAAGATAAAAAGGTATCAAAAAAAGTCTTGTTGTTGTGCCAAACAACAAAAGGTTGTTGGGTACCTGAGCAGTCCAAATACTGCCATAATGAGTTTCTATTGATTTGCTTAATGGGAAAGTCTTAAAACATACCCTTGTTACCCCTCTTGGTTTCTGTTGTATCAGCTTTTTTTTTTCCAAGTTTTTATTTAAATTCTCGTTAGTTAACATACAGTCTATTAGTAATTTCTGGTGTAAAATTTAGTGATTCACCACTTATATACAACACCCAGTGCTCATCGCCACAAGTGCCTGTTATATCAATTTTAAATGTGGCTTTTGAACTAGGTGATCTCTTAGTTCCTACCACTTCTAATATTCTTAAAGGATTCTTTTTTTTAAAGATTATTTATTTATTTCAGAGATAGAGAGAGAAAGATACTATGTGTGTTCAACTGTGCACACTAATGGGGGGAGGGACAGAGGGAGAGAATCTTCAAGTAGACTCCCTGCTGAACATAGAGCCCATTGCAGGACTCCATCTCAGAACCCATGAGATCATGGCCTGAGCCAAAACCAGGAGTTGGATGCTCAATTAACTGAGGCATCCAGGTGCCCTGAGTTCTAACATTCTCCCCTTTCAGAGAGAACCTCTAAGAGGATACCCATCCTCAAGTGGCTAGATGGGTATCAAGTATGTGAAGAAGATCCATGTAAGAAAATCTGAAACAGTGGGGCCTGTGGCAATCTGGATATTTGCATGGACTTTCTGAAGTCTTCAAATTGTCAGTTTTTCATTATTTTAAATTATTGTGCTAAGGAAAACATATCTATAGCCCCATAGACCTCTACCCTTAATATCCAGATAGCCTTTTTATTCTATTTGAATATCCAGCATCTTTGTCAACTATTCAATAGAACACAAAGGGACTATATTTTTCTGATTTGCTAAGATATAAATATAGATATATATATATATAGATATATATATATATATATATATCTATATATATATATCTATATTAATTCTGTTCCCAGAATTCATAAGAATACTGGTAATTTTAGGAAACTCACATTGGATTGTGAATTGTGTTATTTTCTCAATTTGTCTGCTTCTTATTCCTTCCCTGTTCTTCTTGGTCATAATGGCTATTTTTAGATTATGTAGTTTTTTAAAAACGGTTTTTGCAGGTTCTAGTTTAGGGCTTGAGTCTGCAAATTAAGTTTAAAAAAGAAAAAAAGAAAACAAATCAGATGATATGTGCTACCTGAGACAACATAAAGAAACACTTAGAAATCTTTTACCTTTTCAACCTTCTCTTTATTGTTATCATGGCTCTTCTTATTCTCTTGCTATGTGCTACTTTCTTCATGGCCCCACTTTAATACTTGATTTGAGATTTTGGTTGATATAATGGGTTACAAAAAATTATAAATTGATAGCTAAACCTAAAAGTCAGTAATTCATGCTCTATCAATATAACTTTAAACCACAGACAATATTTACATCATTTATGAAATCTGTTATATACATTAACTACAGTAACCAGCTTCCTTTTAAAATGGAATTTCTCTAGAAATACCACACATAAAGATACTATAATGGTACTCATTTAGCCTTTAAATCAGAAGTGCTCCTTAAAAGTAGTTATGAACTGCATGCTGCCAATGTTCCCATTAAAAACTCCCCCAGTAGCCGTTGACATGATAGCCCACACTGACTTTCACCATTTATCATGACGATGGTCTGTGATTAAAGCTCCCTGGGCATGAATTGACTCTACTGTGCCTTAACAGCCATGAAGGAGATATTTAAGTGTTTTATTCATTTGTGATAATAAGATAAAGACCTCTATGTAATATTTTAGGCCACAGAGCAACACTTCTAAAAAAAAATTTTTATTTTACTTGTTATCTTTCATATAAATCTGAATAGATTTTTTAAACTAGTTTTTAGTGAAGAAAATGGAAGAAAGACAAGGCACATTATCTTCAAACATCTAATTATTTTGGCATAATCACTGTGAATTAATGATTACTCGACCTCTCAAGAGGCATGACACTAAATTTTTTACTCTAAGACTGAAACAGAGGTTAGAGTCATGGAGGCTGTTTACATTGATTCTGAGGTCAGAATAGGAGGAAATAGATTAAGATTACCCAGCATTGTTAGATCATGTGAGAACTTCCTTTATTGTAAAGGAAATTGGGCTCAGATATTGAATTTAATGACACCTGGGAGAAAGAACTTGAGAAATTAGTAGCAAGAACACTCCATCTTGGAAATATTTATAAATACTTCTGGTTTCCATTTTCTGATATGTGACTGTAAAGTTTCACTAGAATTTAAGTAGTCAGAATTTGAGGATGTGATCTAGAATGCGGCGAGTAAAATTTTCCCTAAAGTTGCTATCTGTCAAAGCATTGCATTAGCTGTTGAATCTTTGAACTGTTTCAGAATAGTATATATGGGTCTCACCAAACAAAGGCTTAGCTAATGTCTGAATCTTTTGGAAGTGTAATTAAAATTCAGATTTCTGGTCCTAACACCAGGTATGCTGGTGCAGTAAGTCAGCCATGATAACCAGGAATGTCTGTTTTATTTATTTTTCCCCTTTCATTGAGATGTAATTGACATATAACATTTTACTAGTTTGGGGTATACAACATAATGATTTGATATATATGTATGTGTGTGTGTGTGTGTGTGTGTGTGTGTGTGTAATACACAATGAATACTGCAATTAGTTAACATCTATCACCTTACATAATTACAAATTTTTCTTATTGGAACTTTTAAGATCTATCTTCTTAGCAAGTTTCAAATATAAAATATTATTTACTCTAGTCATCATGTTATACAATATGTCCCCAGGACTTATTTATTTTATAATTGGAAGTTTGTACCTTTTAACCACCTTTAACCCTTTTTGCCCTATCTCCCCACTCCACCCCAACCTCTGGCAGCTACCAATCTGTTCTCTATTTCTGTGAGCTTTTTTTTTTTAAGATCCAATGTATAAGTGAGATCATACTTATCTTCCTCTGTGCTTATCTTTCTCTGTCTGACTTATTTCATTTGGTATATTGCCTTCAGGATCCATCCATGCTGTCACAAATGACAGAATTTCCTTCTTTTTTATGAATGAAATATATATATATATATATGTATATATATGTACACATATATATATAAGAAAATGTTTTATATATATATATATATATACATATATATATATGTATATATATATATGACATTTTATTGATCTATTAGTCCATCAATGGACACTCTAACTGTCCCCATGTCTTGGCTATTGTAAATAATGCCACAGTGGATATGAGGATGCACATAGCTCTTCTTCAACTTACATTCCCACTGACAATGCACAAGGGCTCTCTTTTCTCCACATCCTTGCCAATATTTATTTCTTGTCTTTTTGATGCCAGTCATTCTCAAAGGTGAGAGGTGATACTTCATTGTACTTTGATTTGCAATTCCCTGCTAATTAGTGATGTTGAGCACATTTTCATGTATCTGTTGACCATGTGTATGTCTTCTATGGAAAAATGTGCGTTCAGATCCTCTGCCTATTTTTTAATTGGCTTGGATTTTTTTTTAAATTTTGTTTTTGTTTTTGTTTTTACTATTGGGTGTTATGAGTTCTTTGTACATTTGAAGTAGTGACTCCTTGTTAGATATATAATTTGCGAATATTTTCTCCTAGGTAATGTCCATTTTAAAAGAGCAGTTTAGGTGACTTTGATGCAGGTGCTCTGAAGACTTTAATTTAAGAAACATCATTGGTTTAGGGTAATATATGACAGAGCATCATCCTCCAGTTTTCATTTCACGAACCCCTGAGATAGCAAATAAACCGATGTTTAAGATTCATTTGACATGCATCAGAGTCAATATTAACATTATCAATACCATATACATAAATCCTATTTTATTAGACTGATCATAAGTAACAAGATCCAACAGATTATGTAAGGGGGGAAAAGAGGAGTTTGCTTTATTTATTATAAATTATCTATTACAGATTTATTTATTATAAATTGTCTATGATAGAGCCAAAGGCTAACAATATAGATATGCTTCAAGAACTGTTGTCTGGATTTCCTGACATCCTCTTTAAAGTTTTCATCCTTGTGTTTTTATCTGGACTGACCTCATTCTTCCCCTTGTTAGGCCAACTTCTTTTGTCTCTCCCATCCACATATGAAAATATGACCTCTGATCATGTT